CGTCGGCATAACAATCTAAATCCTGTTCAGGGGCATGTCATCACTTCATAAATGGTTAGGAGAACACTTTTTTTCCATGATCCGTCGCGAACATGATGCGATCACACCTCAAATCACACAGCAACTATCTGAGTCCATATTGTCTATATGTATGTAATCCACATGCGTGGTCGTCTGAGTTCACATGAAGTCACTCACTTTCCCTGTTGGTGCATTGTCCACACACAAAATCACAGTTGTGTGCACTTTAGGTTTGCTTTGTGGCACTGACATCGTCCGTGGCATTGTTTCTTGCACATCGCATTTACACGAGTTCACGGCATCCCTTTGATGCTTCTGGAAGTACACTCCACAAGGGGATCCAGTGCCCGTCGTCATCAAGTTTCCACCCCCAACTGGATGGACTTGGAAGAGTAGGACTCGACGTCATTGCTTGAGCCCAGATGTGACCTGCTTGGAATGATGCACGCTTGACGTGCTGGTAGAGTGCTGCTCGGGATGGTGGGATGTTTTCTATTTTACGATTGCCATGTGAGAATAGTTGCTTTCTTGCTGCGTTTACTGTGGTGATTTGTGAAGTTCGGCTGTAAAGAAGGACAACAAATCTTTCCAGCTCCTCCATGTCGGCTTCTGTAACTTCTTCGGGAGTGTCAGAGAGGCGGATGAATACAGCTGTGAGGTTGGGTAGCGACCGCCAGACATCCCACGTGGTTTTCTTTCCGATAGAGCTGAATGATGAGACTGTGTCACAGCCTGACACAGCATGCATGAATAACAAGCCTTTGCAACAGTCAACACCAAGTGCATCAGCAATGGTGTGAGCAGCAATGTAGCGGAACGTGTTACCACTGCCAAAGGCTAGCCATAGTTCACATCCTCTCATTTGGATTGTCGCCACAATGGCAAGAACCAGTACGTCTGTGTCTGTGGCGTGTACCATGATCTTTTTCAATCCGTGTTTGAAGGCATGAGCACAATGGAGCATCATGCGGTAGTCCGCCTCTTCGTGTGTGCATGGCTCTAAGTCAGAGACATCCAGCACAGATGTCGATACTACACTTTCACCCTTGGTTGAGACTAGTATCTTTCCTGCTTCCAAGTGCTAGATGAACTTGATGCATTGCCATTGCCAATACAACTATCGCGTTTGGATGAAGGTGAAGGAATCGAACGAACTCTCACAGAACACAAAGCAAAATGGCACAAAGCTTGTTATGTCATGTACAACAGCACGAAGGTCGAGAGAGCACGTAAAAAAGTCGCCAAAACGAATCCTGAACCATGTGATATATCGCCACTCAAAGGTAGACTTCGAGGTGCCTTCACCAGCACCTCTACTCGACAAACGACAGAAAGACTACAGATTTGTTTCTTCTGTGACACAAGGGTGGAAGATGATTACCACACAGCTGCCACACCACGATTTGATGCGAACGTCCGTAAGATGGCCACCGAACTTCGAGACACGTTGAGTCATGTTCTCAGCTAAAGTTCCATAACCCTTTGACTGTTGCTCGTTCCGGCAGAGAGATGGATCTCGTAAAGGTTCACTTGTTGTTTTCTGACAAAGCACACACAGTGCCCAGTCTGTGGCTGTTTCTGCTGGAGCAGATGTATCTGCAAGCTTTAGTCTTTTAGTAGCCATAGCTCCATGTATGTGTAAATTCTACTCAAGCATTTCGACTCTACACTGCTACCGGCTGCTACACTGCTACCCTGCTGCTAGCCTCACAGGATACCAGCAAAGAAATTCATTGTTTAACATTCATTGTGATCTTCNAATCTTTTATTTGCAATCTTTGCAAATAAACTCTTATGGTTTGCTTAGCCTTATGGTTAATAACTTATTAAGGTTTTTCTTCATGATCACTTCAAATACTGTACATGCACTATAGATCATGTCTAGTGATAGTTCAGTGACGTTCAACTTTATATTTTGTCAAACCTTACTATTCAATAGAGGACCATAGTGTGTTTACTGTCAGAGGACCATAGTGTGTTTACTGTAAGAGGACCATAGTGTGTTTACTGTAAGAGGACCATAGTGTGTTTATACTGTAAGAGAACCATAGTGTGTTACTAAAGAATGTTGCCCTGGGCTGCTGTAGCTCCTGCAAATCTTAGCAAATAAACTCGGTTTGCTTATGATTAATAACTAATTAAGGTTTCTCTTCATGATCACTTCAAATACTGTACATGCACTATAGATCATGGCTAGTGATAGTTCAGTAACGTTCAACTTTATATTTTGTCAAACCTTCCTATTCAATAGAGGACCATAGTGTGTTTACTGTAAGAGAGGACCATATAGTGTGTTTACTGTAAGAGAGGACCATATAGTGTGTTACTGTAAGAGGACCATAGTGTGTCTCTAAAGAATGTTAGCTTTTCCGGGTGGCTTCAGTGTTTGTCTAGTCGGGCTGCCGTCTCACACACACCCCTTGGCCTGTAACCGGTGTGTACCTGCGAAGTCTGCGGTCACTACTATGCTACTGTCTGCTCAGGTTCGCACCACAATGACTGCGGGCTTACCAGTCGAAGTTAGAACCACAAACGAAGCGGCAAACACTCCGGAGGAGATCTGTCGCCGACGTTTCTTTCACAATATAATTCTATAATTCTCAACGAATGAAAACAATACAATCTCGCACGTGGCTCGAACAACACAGAACATAGTTCGCGAACAGTGCACGGTTACCCAAATACGACAATATGACTCTGGAATAGCTAGGTAACACACCCCATGAACGGGCGAAGATCTCTGAGACCTCCGTCATAAGAACCCCCCCCCCAACTCGAACTGAAGTACACTGATGACATGCCTAGATATCCCCGAACATAACAAAACAGAAAACTGCTACACGTACTATACCTATACCATGGACCTACAGATCCGCGCACGCCACCGACACTACATCTGTAATGATCTGTTGATTCGTTCATATATATATATACTCTCGTGTGTGTGTGTATGTGTGTGGCGCGTGTTCGTATAATGTATACCATGCGATGTTCTAACCCAAAGGTCCTGCTTGGCGCGGGTACCCTTGTGAGGTACCCTGAGGTAATAACAAAGTAGACAGACACGGAAGTATAACGTACAAACAAATGTCTATTTAATTCTTAGACCAACTTACAGAGACAAGTTGTTAGTTACATATTTAATGCAAGATCTCTAAAAGGAGTTTACACACGCAAATACATTTACTAGTCTTAAAAGGAGTTTAAGACATACGTTTTAAGACGCATACTATAACACGAATACGGTAAGACCTAAACTATAACACATATACGAGAACTGTCAAAGCGCTGACCAAGCGCTTTAATACTACATACTCACGGATCTGTACCCTGGACGATTCTGTTGTTTGGGTCCAGAAGTACGGTTTATATTCTAAATTTAAAGGCAATTAGCCTCGTACGTGACGTACGTAGCGACCTCGACACGCCTCCCGGCTGCAGCGGTTCAATGGAACGGTCGCGTTGACCGTTCCACGTGCCTGCACGCCGTAGTACGACTAAGCTTAATTGTCCCTGAGCTCTCTAGGACCACTCTCGTCTGACTGTGCATGCTAGCCTTTAGGCTAGTCGGTGGTTTACATTTCCTTAATTACTTTCTCCTAATCAACTTTCTTTTCATGGTAATATTAGCTTCATTACACTACTCCCATCCTTATGAAAAAGTTTAAGAGCTATATTCTATAGCGAAGAACTTTAATTAAGGTTATATTGTACGTTTTTTATTCATGTTATGCCCTTCTTTTTTTTTAAATAGTGTGTTAATTCCCTCTTCCAAAAACCTAACTAGCTTAATTATTTCTTAATTAATCCGTCGTCTTTAGTTGTCCGTGGGAGTATCTCCGTGGCTCCGTCGGTTCATCTCCGTGGGGCTTCTCCGTGGGGCTTCTCCGTAGGGATTCTCCGTGTGGCTTCTCCGTGGGGCTTCTCCGTGTTAGTGGTCTGGTCTCAACTGTCTGGTGTTGGATGGTTAGGGCTGCGCTCGGACGATGTATCGTTTGAGTACCTCGCTCCAGAACATCAAGGCGTCGTATCTGCGATGATGCCAGGACTCCATGTGGTCGTAGTAAGACGTTCGAAGTCGAAGGGGCAGGGTGGGGGTCGCTAAGCGTGAGCGAACGTGGCATCGGGGCGACTGCGAGAACTGGTCTTCCTGGAGTGTTGAACCTGGTTGCTAGGCAACGGCGGCGATCGGCAATCTCAAGGTGTCGGATCTGCTGCCCGTGGTGCGTGGCGTCCGTGGTGGTTGAGTCCGTGGTGGTGGTGGTGGTGTCCGTGGTGGCGATGTCCATGGTGGTGGTGTCCGGTGTTGGCGTTGTCATTGTGATTCGTTGTTGTTTGCTTTCGGGTGATCGGCGGTGTGAAATATCTGGTGTGGTAATCACCGCACGCTGATCACGGTGTTTTCCAGGTTTAGAATCGTTTGGGTATGGTCGCATTGTTGTAGTTTGTATCCACGGTGTTAGCAGAAGTAGTGATGAGACAGAAATGCTGTGAAAACTTATCAACATGGATATCATAATCAGCAAACCGAATGAAATAAACAAAGTTGAAGGTGTTATAAGAACGCCTTCGTACAAGTTACACATGTATTAAAAAAAAATTCCGTAATTACGTAGTTGCAAAAAGTAAATATAATGTAAAGAAATATAGATTGAAAAAACATATAGATGAAACGCAATTTCAATGAAATCAAAAAGGTAAGCATGAGATAAAGGTGTAACATGGTACCTAATACATAAACTGTAATACGCTCTAAAAGTACACAGAAATAAAAATTTAAACATATTGTGTGGTCAAACAACAACAACAAAATAGTGGGTCAACAACAAACAGAAATACGTGCCGTTACTGACCCCTGTGCACTTCTATGCCTGAAAATACTAAATCAGTTAGAATCTGCGCCTGATCATACAACATGATTTGCTCGAATATCATACAATCGGATATATGGGGGGGGGGGGGGTGAGTGAGTGGTTAAAGCATAATCAGTTAAGTCCCTGATATAATATATCTGTGCGTGTTCTATCTAGTACTCTCGCTGTAGTACTGTCGTATGGCTGGAAAGAATTAAAAAAAAGAAATATAATAAAAATAACGAAGTGCTATGATCTCTTAGTGTTTAATTAGTGGTTTTGCGCTCGTTGCAGGGCTTCAGCAGCTTAGTAGGTGATCACTCCTACCAAGGCACTAATTGCTGATCAACGCAAATGACGTCCCGTTTATCTAACCTGTAGTTAATCAGAGGGAGTCGTCTAGGCGGCTCTCAAGTATCGTCATAACCGAACATGCGTGCATAAATGTACGTTGCACAATGAATTTAAACAGGTAGACGGTGGGTGGGTGGGTGTTTTTCGGGCCCTAGGTGGGGTACAATTCCCAGTGAATGCTTTACACTGTATGTGAGTGTTTTTTTTTATCCAACATGGTTGACCTGGTCTCAAACCCTGTATATACGAATACAAATTTACCACGTAGGTGCCATAAAACCGTAGTTAGTGAATGGTGTGACAATTTCGCTGCGCGATTTATAGTACAATCCTGGGGCTACACGACGGCTCTCTGACCTCGTCAACCGTTAATGACTTTGATCGTCTCACCTTCACTTTCGTAAATCTTTGTGGACGAATTTTCTCAGCGATTCTGGGTTCTCTCTCTTAGTTCCTGACTCTGTCATGGCTGTGCAAAATCCAATCTCGCCTCTCTACGGCAAGTAAATGCGTAATTAACCTTACCTTCTGGGGTATTCTTAATTACCTGAGTGGTACCTCTGTACGTATCTAGATATGAATTGGCATTGTACGACGCAGTTGAGAAACTCACAAGGCGGGCGATGATGATGGCGGGTGGGCGGGTGGAGAAAGTAGATCATAAAAACATACGGATTAAACTATTGTTGTCCAGTTTATCTACGACAACTGAAAACACTAAAAAAAACTAACCTTGTTTCTCCTTTACAAGCTGTTACATAAACACTGTAGAGAAATGAAATCTCAGTTTTATCGGCTGACAATAGAGGTAAAAATTATGTTAATAGCACTAGGGTATATTCGTGATAAAGGGTATATATAATA